ACACGCACCTGGCCATCCACGTCACGTAAAAGAAAATATGATTCATCAGACCAGGCCACCTCCTTCCATTGCTCCGTGGTCCAGACAAGAGCTGCAGTTGACCCTTGTTAAAGTCATTCAAATGCTTACACTTGCCCATTTTTCCTGCTTCTAACACATCAATTCTGAGGACAAAATGTTCACTTGCTGCCTAATATGTCCCACCCACTGACATGTGCCATGGTGAAATTCGCTTCACCTCTCAGTGGATATAATGTAATGGCTGATCGGTGGATATCTATGTTCATTTTGCTCACACTGTGAGCTCAATGATTTGAATCACTTATGCAACACATTACATATCTTTGCTATCCTGTGGAAAACCATGTATCTCCACATTTGGCAATTTAAAAATAATTAGATAAACTGAAAGATTAAGTATTCCATAATGATTTGAAATGGAAATCTCCTGCTTGTTAAGATGAATAAACCATTTATAAACCGCTCTGGGTTATCTGAAAATGTATGCTGATGAAAAGTTGATGTCTTGGAGATAGTTTTCCCAGATGATTTGTAGTTGTGATCCTGAGGAGGAAAAATTTTGATGAATTGAATTTGAAATAACAAGATTGCATCTAAAAGTGCATCTATGTCCTCTTTGACCTTGTGTTTTTAACCAAACCATTTGTGACATAAAGTAAAGAAAAAGAATGTCTGTACTTACAAAATTGGTCTAAAATATTCACTGGCTTACAAAAATTTGAGAGATTAGCAAATGTAGTTGGAACACAATATGCTGCCTAACACTAGCTGAGTGAGAATAAACAAGTAGAAGTGTTGCCTGACCGATGACTTGACTACATTTTAGTCCTGATGAATACATTTTGGGGAAAATAACTTACACAACTTTATTGCACTTCGATTTTTAGGTTTTTATGGCAGTTCCGTGTAGCATCTTCTCTATACATTCTCTTTTCTCTGCTGTCTTAAGGTGGATAAGAAAGTATTTTTGAGACAGCTGTCTAAATCACCGTGAGTGCGAACAAATATTGAATTCTACTTTTCGAGGGTGTAATTGCAGAATCACATACAGTGTTGCACATCTCTTTTTCTGTTTGTGTGATTCAGTCGATATGTCATAATGGCATGTGATATCCCACTGTACTCAAGCCACTTCTAGTGAGCCAAGTTAAGCCATGTCAAGAACATTATGTTAGCTTTTTCACCTGTTTTAAATCTCAATTTATGTTTCTAAAATGTTCTTTTGAAACTTTTTCACCATGTTGCTTTATCTATCCCTTAACTGACTTTTCCGCTCTAGTCATGTTTTTTGTCTTCATTTGGCCACTTGGTATTTTCTGTCTCTAAAGTATAATTCCACTCAGTCTAAACTGTACAGACAGGTGATCCATATTTTGGACACCCTATGTAGTTTCTGATTATCTGTGACCAACTGTAAAACAACTATGCTTTATGTATCATGCTGCTCTGCCCTCTCCATCCTTTGGAAATGAATACACTTATAAAAACCTAATTTAGACCAGCAATTTTAATTGCTTATGAATTAAATAAGGGAATCATATTAGTATGCAGCACCATGTAAGTTACAACAAGGATGCAGTAATAGAAAACCCACTCCATTTCATTCTTCTAATTAAACTTTTAATCATGCCATATTCTCTCCCACTTTTATTTTTTTCACTCCAAACCTCAGCACTTTATCTACCTTGAGGCATAAGTGCAAAACTTTGTTAGAAAATATACACAAGAAAATGATTACAAACCTGTAACCAAACATTTTTTACTGATTCACTTTGGTGGAAATAGCTTTAGAATAGACAGCATTCTGGTTTAAATTAACATGCAAGAAAGAAGCAAGCTACAGTGGTCAAATTTCTCCTGGAGACACTTTAGAGTAGTCTTTCCAAAATAACAGAATTTTCAAAAGGGAATGTTTTTCTCTCTCTCTCTCCTTTTCACCCCTGTGGTCCGCTCTTTGTGAGCTGCCGGGGCTGTGAGCCACAGATAACACAATGCGGAGATGACACTCCCTGGATATTCCCTCTGCTTTCACTTAGATTTAGATTAGAATGCTGTAGTGGACTCTGACATCAAGGGAGCTACCTATCAAAGCTTAAATTCGATCCTCTTCTCTCCCACAGTTTTGCTTTGTATAATGTTTGGTAAATTAACACCTTCCACTCTCACCCTCCCCCCAACAATCATCATAATTAGAGATGGCACTAGAACTATTTTTTCACATTAGATTTCATGCATGACTTAGCAAAGCTTTGATCTTTTAAACATGAAACTTTGCATTGCTCGAGCCTAATATGACTGTGGAGGTTTCAGTTTTACATTTTGGCATGTTTAGTGCCTGAGTGCATACTAAATGCACATCTTTATTGGCAGCTAGATGCAGTACAAGCAGGCATCAGGATCTGTTATGAGCAGAGTGAGGAACTCATTGATCCTAAACCAGTCTTTTGCTGGCACCCAACAGAATAACCTTGCACACAGTAATATTTTTGAGCATTATTATCAAACTATTTTATATTAAAAATCATCCCCTGGGCCAAAGTCATATTCTGCATATGTAGCAAAAGCCATAAATGTGAGCACACTCTAACATTTTTCATCGATCCTGTGGTTCATTGGAACATAGACATCTGGTTTGTTTATTCTTTTAAGTTCAGCCTGAATCAATCCACACTTTAGCTTTTTCTAGCCAATTGGGATTACAATACATTTCCCCCCCCACCCACATTTATTTCTTCTTTGTTTGTTTGTCCTCTGTGCAAGCTAAAGCGTAGAAACCTGATGATATTGGTTTTGGCTGGATTCTCACTTTCTGCCTCCACTGGGACGTAGAAGTAAAAAAAAAAGCTTATTGAGGGGTGAGAATTAAATGAAAGAGGGAATTAGCACGTGGTAGTTAAATGGTCAGTGGTTTCATTGCTTACTTAAACTCTTACTATACAGTATGTTTCAGGTGGTAGGGATGAAGTAGTCCCATTTGTAATTTTCTTTTAATATTTCCTGCCACCTGTTAGTATTTAGCATTGATTCCCTTACTTGAATTGGTGGTAATGTTTAAATAGCAAAACAGCAGGGGCTTTCATGATATTAGGCAGAAGATTGGAATATTGTTTGTGTAATTTGATATCCAGTAGAAAACCTGGGCTTGAAAATAGCAAATTGGTTACATATATTAACCAGGACAAAGAAAGATAAAAGGCCCTGGAACCTCCACAAGCCATTACCTAGCAAGGACCCAATCACCTCCAATATGGCTGTCATAAATTAGCACCAAAACAAAAGCAAACTAATTTGCTTCTTTCAATCCCCAACCCAAGCATTCGCTCTTTTCCCTTTCTCCGGTTTCCTCAACAGCCTATCTTGGAAGAGCCATGAGCCTATCTTAGAAGATTTATGAATATGTTAGAATAGCCTGAGCCAACAGTTTTCAAAGTGGTGAAGTGAAAATAAATTAAACTGGCCCTGTAGGCAAGTCGTGCGGAGAGTGATGAATTAGATACTCATTGCTCTGTCGCTCGATGCCTGTCCCTCTTTTCAAGTGAAAACGCTGCAAACATCATGGGGAAGACAAACAAACAGACAAATCAATTAAGTTGTTTTGATGACGGACTTGTAGAAAAATTGATTTGGAGACTAAAGTATATCAGTAAACACAATGTCCTTGGTTACCAGAGAATAATTTACTGAAGGAAAATCTTTGGTGCAAAAAAATGCAGAGCAAATGTTGGACGAGCACAACAATAAACACACAGAGGCATTTTCATCATCTTCCTTTTCTGTCCGACTCAGTTACCCTCTTGCTCTGCATCTTTCTCTATACTCAGAGACAAAACATATTCTAGTGTTTGTTTTTCTTTCTGAAACCTGGACACATTTGAAAAAAACAAGAAATATATTTATTTGATGATACTAATCTAATCTGTAAATTATTTTGACTTAGAAGTCATGGGTTAACTTATGGGTTGTCACAGTAGTAGATTGTAGTATTGTAGTATTGAACCACCTCTTAGACAGGCCCATGCATTGCACTGCAGGCCAACTGTTTCCTTTATGAAAACCTGTGTCCTTTTTTTCTAGAGAAATGATAATGCAGGATCATTTCCATCAAGACGGATGGCTGCACACATTTTTTTTTCACTTTTGTCTAACATGCTGAAACCCCAGTACCTGATGAAATCTTTCCATGTTGACCTAGAGGTCAGCTTTCAATTGGAAGTGGTCAATCAAGAGTGAGTTTCCATTTGGGCCAGCATGACCATAAATCTCCTACTTCCCCCCCCTCACTCTTGCCAGCTGCAGGCTGCCATTTCAGCAAGTGCCATGGTTTTCCACTCTCTTTTTTCAGCAGACTGAGTTTCATCAATTGATTGGGGCTTTCTTTACTTTATTCTTCTTTCTGTATGTGGAAGGTCCCTGACAGAATTGAACTGTTTTTACAAACACTTTGTGAAACACGAAACTTTAAAGGTGCCACAGAATACTCATTTTCAGGTTCATACTCATATTTACACAGTAAAATAATTGACTGTAGATTTACAGTAAACTACTGGCTACTAGTTGCATTACTTTCACAGTAAGTTACTGTATGTAAATTTACAATAAATTACTGGGAACTAGTTACATTACTTTCACAGTATGTTACTGTATCATTTTACAATTCATTGTTGTGAAATGACAGCTGTATACTGTGATCTCACAGTATTTATGCCAGTAGAGTACTGTGATTTAGCAGTATGTTGCTTTAGATTCAATATATTCAATTGTAACTTCACAGTCAATGACTAGTACTGTGATTTAGCAGTATGCTGCTGCTGCAGAAATACAACACTGTAATACTAATGAAATGTGCCATAAATTTACACTTACAATCTGTACAATACTGTAGATTCGACCTTTTCACAATTTATATCTGTTCAATAAACCCATCAATAACCTAAATATTTGAAAAAATAGATTAAATTCAAATAAACACAAAACCATGATCTATTTTACACATTTATTTTGCAGTTTTATATAAACTTTACAGGACAGTGCAACTACTGCATTGATGTTACTTTGGGCACTGGGAAATTGTAAAGAGCATTTCTCAAAATGTTTGACATTTTATACACTAATCAGTTAATTGATTAATCGAGCAGATTAACTGATAATTAAAGCTGCAAACGGTTTGTGCTTTGGTACCACTTAAAAAAATTTGCGCAATATACATACAATTGAATTTTAAAGACATTTTTCACCTCCAGTTTAACATGAATCAATTAAAAAACAGAACATTGAAATATTAAAAACACTTATAAAACCGTAAACCTCATGCTGTATTCATGTTTTGCCTTTCACTGTCTACTTTGACATCCACTTAAAGTCAATGAGCTTCCTGATTAGTGTACACACTTGCTGGTTGATTTGTCCTCGCTGTCTCTTCGATTTTGTGCCCATCTCTGGATTGATGCCCCAAAACACCTATAAACACAAACACCGGAAAGCCGTTAGTTTCATTCAGGTAGGATGATAAAGGTGATTTCCCAAACAGTCCCCCCAGCTTTCAGTGGGTCACTGCTGTTGTATGACAGCAGTGACTGTTGTCTGGACAAAGTGACATTACTGTGGTTCAGATAAAAACCAATCATTTAAAATAACAGTAACTGAAAACCATTTTCATTACAAACACTTCAATCAACAAAGTGCAGGTGTGTGATTTACCTAGGCAGAGTAGCCTGAGTGGTACTAGCCTGTGCCATTGACAGAGAGGGGCGTGTAATGCATGCACTGGGGGCTATAGGGTGAGGGTGCTACCCCCCAATCGGGCAAATGCAAAGTGCAAACAATTCGTCTGTCATTCTGTCATAGGTGCATGTCACATACAGTACACGTCTATAATACAGTTCTCGTTTGAGAGGTAACAGGGGGGCACGTTACCAGTTGCCTGCTGTGGTCCTGGGCTGCTCACAAACAACACCCAAACATTACTACTTTAAACAAGCCCTCAAGCAAAATATTAAAGTAGACATTTACCTTTGGATAAATTCCAGAGTGCATGAAGCACCTTCAGCATACTTCAAATTTAAATTGTAGTAGCTGGCAAAAACAACAGCCAAACCACTGACGAAGTACTGGTGAAGTCCCATGACCACTAGGCCCTCCGCAGACAGCATCTATGCAGATATACTCATCAGGCACTAATGAAAAGGAATCAAGAATAGGAAGACCATACTAGTGGAGAGCTGCTTCTGGGACACGCTGAGGCACGTCTGGTGTGAACACAAGCATTGACTAGATCACCTCAATATGGTGCAGGCTTTCCCTGTGTGAATTTGGGGTAAGAATAAAATAAATTTCTTTAAAGGGAAGTTATGAAAATATTTGTATATGCTCTTAGTTAATGTTCTTAGAAAGAAAGAAAATTTGATTTAGCCAGGAGGAGATTAAGAGCTGGAGGGATAATGTTTTTGAGGAAGTTAGGGATGAAGGACAAAAGTTTAGTTCTACCAGATGAGTGTGCACAGCCAAAGAGACACTCGCTAGATCAGTACCAAAAGCATGACTTGGTGGTGTGAAATGCATAAAAAAAAATTAAGACGACATCAACATTACCTTGGACAATCAAGCGAGGTGTGCTTGGTAGCGTTACCATCCTTTCAATGTCAGTGGCTGTGGCTCACACCTGCAAATATAGAATAGAGAAAGATTAAGATTCAACTGTTACCATATCTTGTACCATTGATTTATTTATTTTTCCTCAGTACACATTTTGTAAAGCTTAGATTGTGATCATGTGTTATGTATGACATACTCAGTCCACTCACCAAGAACTTCAGTTATCACTATAAGGAACACCTGCTTATTCATGCAATATCCAATCAGCCAATCATGTGTTCAGGGTTTTTCCTGCATAGAGAAATTTTGGCGCCCCCAAAGAGGTTTTAGCAAGTGCCAAAGGAAAATCAGCCGCGGCCAAAATTATATGAATTGGGATAAAAAAGCATTTCGAATCCCCTCCAAATGTGTGTTTAATAGCCATTTATCAAACAAGCAGAACAAAAACTTAAATACGATATTTTGTTCCAGCAGTCACGGTCACCTGTTCCCATTCTCGCCTGCCTGCTAATCTCCGCAGGGAGATTAGGAGCCTGTCATGCATCCATGTTTAAAGTGCTAGTTTCAAATCTCTTCAATACAAAATGATGTCATTTAGTAAATTATGGTCCCATTTATTTAAAATAGACCAAAAAGCAGAGTATGTTCAGGGCGGGATTATCTGTGATTGACAAGTCGATACCATGGCAACCTGTCAATCAGGCTACAGGCTTCATGAACCGACCAATCACAGCCTGGAGTAGGCGGGACATTACAAAAAGGTTGAGGAATTACTGCAAACTTTAGAAATGTTGAACTTGTTGTTCTGTATGTATGGTTATTATTACTGCATAAAAAAAATGACAGACTAACCACAATGCAGAGCATTTTTCTTGCACAATAACTTAATGACCGAAAACTACCCACAAAAATGAAACTGTGTTTTGTCCAACTGGAATTAATATTATAGGAAAATATCAGAAAACGGTTTTGTGTAAAAAAAAAGAAGCTGAATCTCAACTACATTTACATTTATTCATTTAAAGCGACAATTGCTATACAGTCAGAGATCGCACGCCTCTGGAGCAACTAGGGGTTAAGTGTTATACTGACATTATACTTTCTATTTAATGTTATAATATTTATTAATACACTAATTTACATTTAGTCCTCAGGTTGTGGATTTATTTTGTTATCAAATCGTCAGAAATACCAAGAAAAGCATAGATTACGGTCATAAGGTATTTAGGAGGAGACACGATCATGCTTACTGTCGAGCAAAGTCGCCCCCCAAAGGCCCGTTCTGAGCCAGGAAAAACCCGTGTTTTCCTTACAGTTGACAAGATAGGCAACGGTGCTCTATCACACCCAGCACCAGAGAAAATCGAAGGTTGTCAACCTTAAATGAAAGTGTATGTAACTTAGCTAGAAAGCCAACTTAAGTTACCGCCCTGTAACGTCAGTCTTGTCACCACTGCTGGG